CACGCGTTTGTGTACGAAAAAAAAAAAAAAAAAAAAAGGTCGTGATCGGTAATTTCCTGCCTCCGTGCGCCTTAGCCTTTTAAAAGCAAACGGGGAAGGGGTCGCAGAGGGATGCATCACTTNGGGGCGGGGGGGGGGGAGAGAGCCTACATACAGCACAGCCCTTAGCTAGGATGGCGAGTTTAAATTGCTTGTGCACATATACGTGTACGTATAAAGGCAGCCAGCCTGCAGCGTGTATGTGTATACAGCGCGCGAAACTTCTTCATGCAGTCCTCGAAAAAGCCTCATCTCCAGAGCTCTTCGGCGTGGGTATAGTCCCCGGCTTTCGAGTACCGCAAAGCCTATATATATACACCCCGGCACTGCTGCAGCGGTGCACTACCGGCAACAGCAGAGAGAGAGAGAGAGCACTCTGTTTTTTTTTGTTTTTTTGTTTTCTTCCCAACCCCTTTGGCCACTTTTCTCTCTCCCTCCCTCCCTGCACACATAGTGCATATAAGATGCAAGCGCTCATGAAGGCATTTTACGACTCCTTGTTTGTTTTGACTCTACATACACGAGTGTGGCTATCGCGAGAGGCCACTATCTCGGACGATAAATGTTGATCGAGCCGCTTGATAAAGCATACCGCGTGATGCCGGTCTCTTAGCTTTCTGGCTGCAGCGCACGGCGCGCTTTCTACGTACATATTACGCGTATATTTTAATGCCCAAACGCTGCCAGAAGCTGACGTAAGAGGCGCGCATAGGTATATCGTGGGAAACATTAAAAAGTATAGGTGGACTTGAAGGGCCCATCACAAGTATATACATAGTAGGTAGGTACACAATGTACGGGCCAGAGAAAGAGAGAGAGATTCAATTAATGTTAACTCTTGGCCTAGAAAAAAAAAAAAAAAAAAAAAAAAAAAAAAGGAAAAAGAGTAAAGGCTGTCGTTGTCAAAGTGGGCTGTACACTTGTACTTTCGTGTACTTTGATGGTACTCGAGCAGATTTGCCGAAAACAAGAGAGAAAAAGAGGAACTTGGGACCCTCGACTCTGGCGCGCGGAGAAACTTTTTTTTCTCCCAACATTGGCGGCGCATGCAGGGCTCTCTTCGTTCAAAAAAGAGGGTCTCAAGGCTATATAGCCTACACATATGCACCCACACGAAAAAGCTCACTCGGTGTGGGTGCCGTTTCCTGAAAGCTCGCGGTCGGCGGTCGCGCGATAATTTTATACACGACCGGTGATGAGGACTAGTAGAGGAGGGAAGACGAAGAAAAAAAAAAAAAAAAGAGAAGGAGACGCTGCGATGGTAAAAAGACGAGAGGGAGGGGATGGGTATATACTCAAAGGAGATTGCGGGGATAAAAGAGGGACCCGTGGCTGAGGGGAGAGAAACAAAGGGGGCAAGAGTATCGAGACAGGTATACAGGAGAGAGAGAGGGAGACAAAAGCGAGGAGGTAAACACTGGCAGGGGGGCCCCGAGGAAAAAGAAGAAAAGTAGGTATATACACTCGAGGTATACGGGCGAGCGAAGAAGAAAAGGAGGACGGAGACGACGAGTGTCGCGGACGGCTGGGGGGGGGGGGTAGGACGGGGTTGTTCCCTGGAAACTTTTATTAGAGCGCCTTGGGTGTATACTGTATATAGGCGCTCCGTTTTCGCGCCGTAGGTGCGCGCACTAAATAACGGCGTTGATAGCGCGCGAGGAGCTTTCCATCAACGTCGGGCCCGCCGCTGCAGCTGCAACGAGACAGACACATAAATTTGTACGAGACTCGTTCGCGTTGCAGCATCCAACGGTATGGCGATGACGGCCAAGAGTTGTCAGGGGGACATAAAACTAGTGGCGGAGAGGAGCGCCCTGGTAGGTATATATACACTGAAATAAGACACTGTGAGAAACGCACATACATTTGTATGGATATATATATATATATTTTAGGTGGCACGCGATGATGCGCCTGTCCTGTTTCAGCTCCGCTTCGAGCAGACAAGACACTGTGCCGTATACACGAGAAAAAAAAGTCATCAGCCTTTTCGAGGGAGACTGTTGTCCGATGCACGCGCGTGTCTTATCCGTCGCGGGTATTTCTTTCTCAATGGTAGTACCGATATGTCGATGCGATGCTCGGCCCGTGTATGAAAAATGAATAATGTGTTCGGAGGCAGGAGATAAACCAGGGTGGGATTCTGTCTGAGAAACAACGTGTTGTTGTCACCATGTGTGTATATTTTCGGGGTGACGTTGATCATGTTTTTTTTTTTTTTTTTTTTTTCGATGAAACGAGAAATGTTTTCCCGGAAACTGCAAGCGAGTTAAATTTAAATTGAACAAAATTACTTGTGACAGCTCTCGAGCGCTCGAGGGGATGATGATGGAGCAGCGGCGTCAAGTGCGCGTGCGGTGTGATAAATCGTCACGGGCGTTGATTAAATGACAATTACAGCTCGTTATCTATAGCCTCGCGGCTCCGGCAATGAGGACGAAACGAGGCCAAGCGTCTATTGCAACTATATATTATTATGTGTGCGCAGCACGATATGGCATAAAGCGCACGGACAAAGGCGAGAGAACGGGGGGCGACCTCGAATTTCCTGAGCCAAGAGGAGGTGAAATTTTTGTTTTGTTTTTATTTAAAGAAAAAAAAAAAAAAAGAAGCCGAGAATTTTCTTTTTTTTTTCCTTCATCTTTGTGACTCGGATGTATAGCCCAGTGATGGCACTTGCCTTTGTATCAAAGTAGCACGACTGCGAAGCTCCAGGAATTTTCTTACCCCTCGTTTTTTCGAGCTTACAATACATACGCCGCGTGCTGTAGGTATACGGAGCTTTTGTTTTCGATTCATTTTTCGCCGTGTGCGTCCGCACGCGCGTTAATTGCAAAAACCATTCCAATTTACACGGTATAAACCACGACGGCTTTGTTCAATTACCGCAGCGCTTAATTATAAATGATGTTGAAGCCGTGGCCTACTTTTCGCGCCACACTTTGTTGTTGGCCATCGGTAAATTTATCACCGATCGGCGCTCAATTGATTGATTATACACCCTTCGCGTGTCAATAAATCAAACAACGTCCAACTAGGTGTTTGTTTCAACGAGCTCCCCAATGCAAGTGTACACGAGAGAGAGAGAGAGAGGGAGAGCTACTTGAATCAATTCCCGGGAAAATATTATTCAAAAGTAGTATCAACACCCTCGAGGAAAATGTTTTCGAGGATGAGAATTTTTAAGCATCACCGGCGATATTATTCCGAGTCGAAAAGCCCTAGTGTCGCAATAACAACCCCTTGAGAGCACTTTTGTCGAGTGCGCGCATATTTATGTTTATACGTGTAATATTTTCACAACTCGAGCCTTAGCCATTAGGTATACGTATATTTATATTAATACACGCGCGCGTATAAGAAAAGCTCAGCATCGCTCACAATGTGTATACCCCATCAACGCCACTCGAAGCTTTTGTGCGTGTACGAGTACCCATATATTTATATACATACGGAAGCATATATATATACATATTTCGTGAAAACGAACTTTGCCTCACCCCCCACGCCTCTGCTTAGCAAACTTGTGTAGGTCAAATATTTACGGAATCCCCGTAGCGTAGGTATGTATACGCGCGGCGGGCGCATCCATTTGTCGATTGCATGAATTCATGAATGAAGTGGCTCGGTCAATTTGGCCGCGGCTGGGATTGCCTCTAAACCTTTTAATGGGCTTTTCTCTTGTGCGCGTGTTTGCCCAGCCATCGAGCTCATCTTCTTTGACTTTTATAATTCGACAAAGAGAAAAAGCCGAGGGATGACTCTACGAAGATGGTGTATATGCGGTGAAAAAAAAAAAAAAAGTACCCACTCGTCTTGCGCGTGGGAAATCCGTCCCATTTTTTTTTTTTTTTTTTGATGGACGCTGGAGCGGGGGAAAAAAAAAGATAGGCGCAAGGGCTGACGTTAAGTATCGGCCACGTCCAAACTGGTATAACGACTTGTTTTCCCTCCATACCGAGCTCGTGTGTGTTTATCCTTGGCAAAGAAGCGAAAATTATCGTCCACACAAATAACGGAATCACATGAATTTTCGTACAACGCATATTTACGTGCGTATACACATGTACACTAAATTATTGAATCGGCACAGAAGAGATTCCGTGGTATTTGTGTAAGCAGGTTTGGAAAACAAAATTACATTGTATTACACTTGGGTACACTCGTTCAACATTTTTCGAATTATTCAACGCGTAGCGGATGCGGGGGAGGGAAAAAAAAAAAAAACAAAGTCATAATTCCCGTAGAGCTGAGCTGTTGGAAACTATGTTGCGCGGAAAAGTTGGCTGCTCGAGACCTTCTACAGCTATACGCCCGTGTAAACACACGCGTATAGGCACGTGACACGAAAAACCGCATACTCGAGAGGAAAAGAAAAAAAAAAAAAAAGATGGCCTATATATACAACACGAGAGCAAAGAAAGCGCCGCGAGCGAAGATTCGTAAATAGGGCGAAATACCGTATAGGACATAAGAGAGGAGAGGAGAGGATGCAGCGAGTCGTAAAGGCCCCGCATCGGCGACGCGGAGGCAAAATATTTGGAAACACGGGGTATCGAGCGTTAAACGCGGCTCTTCATTGTGGATCGTGCGCACAGCGGTAGGTATACCTATAACAATAACAGTGGGCTTTTTCAGCTCACGTACACAAACGCGACGACTTAAAAAAAAAGGGGAGCGGGACACACCATAGTATAGTGGTACACCCGTCAGGGGAAAGGTCGAGGAGCATCGATATACCTATATATTTATACGTACTCCACACAGAGGTCCAGCGACCGCTATAGAGATGAGGAGAGAGAAAAAAAAAATTGGGGACGGCCAAGTGAAGGATCGAGGGGCGGCGGGGCACAAAAGAGCAGAGTATAATTATAGTATGGGCGTATACGCACCATAACGGACAGAGTATATAATATGTGGGTATATGTATACAAATATAAAGTATGATTGTGTCGACTTACGCGTGGCTCCAGATGTCCCGAGCAGCATGAGTAGCAGCAGGAGCAGTGCGCCTCGGTGCGCCAAGAGGGAGCAGAGGCCCATAGCGGCGCATCACCCGGAGCCTCGAGGCCCCTCTCTGTCTCTGACCCTCTGGGGACGTCGAGCCTCTCTCGCTGCTGTGCTTGTTCCTCTTCTTCCTTCCTTATCACCTGTCATCCGTCGTCGGTAGTCATCGTCCCGGGCGAGCCCGCACTTTTCACCCCGATCATCCCCCTCGCCTCCCTTTCGGTTCTCGTTGAAGGAGGAACACCACCAGAGCCCCGCTCTCCTACCTGCTTATTGCATCGGTCACACAAACGTACACTCCTGCGCCAGTTTCGCGCTCCTCACCCGACCTCCGCCGGGAAATCACGCTGTCGTGGCTCTCTCTCTCTCTCTTCTCTGTATGGGCAATAAGTATATATGTATGCATACACGTGCGTCCCTTTAATAAGGCCCCTCCCGCGCGATCGAAGGGAGCTCTTGCTGCATCTCTTTTTCTCCGTCCCCCGACAATATTCCTACAAATGTATATAGGTACGCCACATACGCAGTTTGCTTCGTGCATTTATTCGGGCGCGCGCTGCTATCTCCCTTCTTTTCCCTTCGTTTACGGCACAAGCGACAATATAACGAGAGAGGAGCCGATCGCGCCCTATCTCTCTTCACATCAAATTCCACGGGGTACATGTTTTGATCGAAAAGTTCCCGGTGGCCCCTCCGAAAGTCTCTCAGACGCAACTCCGATCGAACAAGAACGAGGGGGTTGGAAAGGGGATGAAATTCGCAGAGAGAGAGAGAGAGAGAGAGAGAGATACGTGTAGGAGACGGGAAAGTGAGAATCGGACGTCGAAGGCGCACGTCATCGAGCTATTAAACTTGCGACGCTGATAAAAACCTCCCCTGGCCCCTCGTGTTATCGGGCCGCTTCCCCCTCCCCCCACCTTCGTTACGAAATAATTGACCTCGAGATACCGCCGATCTTTTCTTTTTTTTTTTTTTTTCACTACTCGCCCTCAGCGCCTCGATCTTCCGTGTATAGCTAAGCAGTCAGGAAGTTTTTTCCCTTTTTTTTTTGTTTCTCCAACTTTCCCGAGTCACGTACGTACGTAAGCTTTTACCCTTTTTCATTTCACCCCCCCCCCCCCAGTGGTGGGGAACAACGAAAGACGGTCGGTGCCTTTACCTACACCACCGAGTACGTACTTTCTTATCTCCGGCGTCGTCGTCGTGTTGGATTCCCATAATTTCCGGTGGTAAAACAAGCAAGATAGCCCAGGGAGAATCGGGGGCCCTTGTACCACCCCCCCTCTCCCCATAGAACAAGAAGTGCAAGTAGAAGAAGGAGGACGGGGGTGTGGGTGCAGGTGTGTATATACGCGGAAGCTCAAACTTGTTCGGGCTCTAATTGATCGAGAATGGGTGTCTTGGCCGTGTATATATAGGCGAGGAGTGCTCACCGTCGATTGGAAAAAGGAAAAGAGAGAGAGTCACGGCAGTGATCTTCGACCGTATACCCTCCAGGGAAAGAATAATTAAAACTTTGGCTGATTCAAGTGCACGAGCTTCATTTAAATGTACATATACGCCCCCCCGGTGATTCGAGGATTCTCGTTTGCTTGGTTAAAGTTGAGGTAATTCGTACCTCGGGATTATTTTGCCAAATTATGCACAACCAAATTTTCTTTCTAATATTTCTGAGAAAAAAAAAAAAAAACAACAACATTCAAGCGTAACAAACAAAATATTATTGGCGAGACGAGCCGTGTTGAGGAAACATCGTCGTCCAGTATACTTAATCAAAAACAACATGGCCACTCTCGTGGTGACTATACAATAATAGCCACAAAACTAACGGCGGGCACTCGTATATATATTATATACCCGTACCATCCAACGCGTTACGTTGTTCCGACTAAAATAACATAATATACTACCAGCGTAGGGCCAATTAACGTTAAACGTCGAATTTCGCGCTCGATTCGGCACACAAGGCAAAGTACGGACAAAGAGAGTATAGGGATATGGGTATAAATATACAGCAGCGGAAGTACACATTATACAGAGGTACAACATCTGGAGGGAGAGGGCGTGGGATGTTATTCCTGTTGATTTAAATGGCAAACGCACCTGTCCCGACCGTCAAAACGTCAATTCCGCGTACGTATGGTACTCTATACGAAAGAGGGGGGTTGGGGGGAGGAAAAAAAACAACGACAAACAAAAACCTTGGTCGACAACGCCGGTAGTCGTATATAATGGATGAGATCCGCGCATATTTCATTAAATCAAACGATCGGACGCGCGTGTGCGCGGCTGCGGTGGAGCGATTGTTCGGGAGAACCGGAGCGTGCACTGAAAAAAAAAAAAGCTCTGCAATTCGCGTCCCACCTGCAATGCAACAAGAGCCGGGCAAATCAAAGCAATGCGGTAACAGCGACATCAGCAACAGGGGGTACACAACTCTGTATATGGCGCTTGAATTTTAGAAGAGAAATAAATCATACGCGAGTCTCGGGCGGAAACCCGGCGCTTTTAAATTGATCTGCCTTCTCTCGACCTCGCGCTGCACTTGCAAATTGATGGCTCCATACTACGCGAAAGTGCACCGCGTGGGATACAAGTACACACACGCGCCGTTCGTTATTCATACATCTCACTCGTGTAATTTGTCCGGCTATCGTATGTATATACACGCATAGATGGGATGATGATGACGCTCGTCAAACTTTGTGTACCACCACGTGGGTTCTCTTGATGCGTTACATTCGTTGGTGATCATTCCCTCGTTACTTTTACACGACTGTACACGCGTATAACGTTTCATACGGGGCGAGAGAGGAATAAACGCGAGAAGCGCACGGGCAAGGGAGAAAATTCAAAATTAAAATTTATCGTGCAGAGGGAGGGATGCGGTTGACACGGCTGATGGACGGAGGAAAAAAAAAAAACGTGTTACACGCGCACGACTGGCGCAAAAGGGGGAAATTTTACGCGTGTACCAGCAAACGAAAATCTCGCGGATGGGGGAAGGGAAATATCAAAGTTAACTGCAGCTAATGCTGCGCGAATATGTACAGTTATACGTGCGGGCCACGAATCGGACGGAACCGTATGACGTTGATTTAGAGCTTCGCTTGTAATATGTATTTAATTTCACCGCGGACACGTGGGCTCTGCAGTGACAGCAAAATAATTAATTATCGGGTAAAAAAAAAAACACTCGCTATGGCGGTTGTAATTTACTTTCCGTCGTACTACACCCACGCACGCTCGTTTATTTTACAAGGACGGGGGAAATAAAAATTACCGAAAAATCTTTATACATAAAAAAAAAAAGAAAGAGTCTTTGGCAAATAGCGACTGCACGTGATCACGAGCCGACGGCACTATCCATTAGGATCGGCTGCACAAACAGCGACAAGATCCATCTCCTCGTCCACAGCGAGCCCCTGTCACCCCCTCTCTTTGAGCGCCGCGAACGAGATCGGGAGATGAGTATAAACGCGGTGTACACAGTGCGGGTGGCAAACAGGAGCACAGAGAGCCAAAGCCGAGCGAGAAGAGGGTAATGACACCCGACCGATTGTATCGTTGATGCAGCGGCAATAACTCGTTTCCGCGTGGATCACCATCAGGACCGCGGCGAGGAGAAAGAGGAGCCAAAAGCAGCCTCCTCCTGTTGGTGGGACGGGGACGGGAGTACAGAGATAGCGCGCAACGAGCTTTCACGTTAGCCCCCGGAGGGGCAAATATTTGCACGGACTCTCCAGCTTCCGTCCTCGTCGCCGGCAGCCCTCTGTTACGAAAAGCCGGACCATCTGCCTGCACGTTGCAACGCTCACCTTATACTTTCAATGTCTTCGTCTATAAGAGCCATGTATTATAAAATAACAATTTAGCGGGTAGTTGTACAGTTGGAGCTCGTGCACGTGTACATGCCCACAGAGTAAAAATGTAAATGGAAACGACTATATGCGAGTGTCTATAAACAATCGTGGCAGAGAGACGAGATGATGAGCACAGCAAGAGCCAACCCCCCCCCCTCCGATCGCCCAATTCCACACCCCCCTTCATCGGTAAACTTAGGGGGTACGTACTGCAGCGGATCCACACAAATTCACCACGTATACGGGGCGATGCGAGCGCGATCTTGAAGCTTCTTTGGGGGAAGAAAAAGATAAACAGTGTAAACAAAGCACACGCGTACGCGACGGGGTCTACAAGAGAGTCTAAATTTTTCACGTTAACAACGAGCAGCAAACGGCTGCAGTGAAAAATACAACCAACGAGAGGAGGGGGTATATATATATTTAAGGCCGGGCAATCGGCCGAGAGCAATGCGCCCGAGCTCGGCTTTCGCTGCACACTGAGCGGCCGAGCCGACGAGCACGCTTGCCGAGCTCTTCTCTCTCTCTCTCCGCTTCCTCGTCTTCGGACCCCTGCTGGTGGTACAGAGACAGAGTGCCACCAAGCCACCATCGATGCGGGATGTGTGCTCCGGTGTGCGCGCGCGCTCTACGTCCTCTCTCTGGAGAGCAGCAGTAGCGCCAGCAGCGATGGTTACCAGAAACTCCAGATAATATACACATGTAGAGAGAGAGAGAGCAAGTGTGTGTGTGTAGCCCACAACTTCGCACCCCTTCGTTCTGTTGCTCACGCTGTATATATATATACGTATATACTTTTTGGAGAATATCTTACTTGTTCGGCCCCCCCCCCGCCGACCGTCTCTCGACGAAATATATATATAAAATTTTTGAGCGCTCGGTGGCTCGGTCGACTAGGTCGTGGATTGGCACGCGGGAGACCGTGGTTCGATTTCCGGGTAGTGCGACTTTTTCGGGCAAGTACCTCTGTGATTCTCACATGTGCTTTTTCACCACGCAATGCTCCTCGAGGAGAGTTTAGGCGACCTTCTCGCAGCAAAATTGCCTAATTTCCCCCTACCCCCCCTCCCAGTAATGGGAGGCCTCCCATCCCTTTCCTTGTCNGGGAGGGTTTTCTTCCCTCCTCACCTACACATATCGTGTATGCAGTGCGCTCGTGCGTTCTGACAAAGAGTCCCCCGCACGGGAAGATGAAAGGCACGCGTATATATATATATATATATATATATGTGTGTGTGTGTGTGTGTGTGTGTGTATGTATATATATATACTTGTGGCGTGCTTTTCTTTGTCGACCACCACCACAACGAGGGAAAGATATAATATGTACGTGGAATAATTTTGTTTGCCAGCGGGTGGCTGCTGATGCTGCGGTTCGAGCCCTATACTACCCTTGTTTCCGCACCTCTCTCTCTCTCTCTCTCTCTCTCTCTCTCTTGTAACTCTGTTTGAAAGAATTCCAGGACGGCTATTGCTGTTTTTTTTTTTTTTTTTTTTTTTTTTTTTGCGGGAATCACTTTTCAATTGGACGACTTATTTGCTCGTCGGGCAGTTTTCGAGGACTTTTTTTTACAATAGGGAGAGGTTTTTCCACGTAAAGACACGAGTATAAATGTATAACATGGGGTAGCCGCAAAAGTATACAATGTTTTGCAATGCAAACTTCATTTGTATATATACCTACTTCAAACTTTTAACCAAAATTGGGTTAAAGTGTGGCACACGAAGACAGATGTATAAACAAATAGGACTCATGAATTTACATTCTGTGAGCTGTATATGCAGTTTTAACTAACGATTCGAGAATGTGCACAACAATTGGTCGTTAAATTCAACGAATTCATGAACGAGTAAATACAAGCCTTTTACAATAATTATGAACTTCTGTACGTTACATGTTGACAAAATTTATGGAAGCTATTTTATAATTAACTTTTTTTCAACGAATTAAAAATTTATGTAACGTTTAATTTCAATAAAAACATGTAAATAGTTGTCAAATGAATTTCGCTAGCAAAGATTCTTCAAAACAAAAACAAAATATTTAATCTCAAGAGATAAGTGCTTTTGCCTTGTTACTCATTCATTTTTATATTCATCCCCATTGTTTTGCTATTCTCGTGATAAAAAACAAATATTACGTGCAAACAGAGCTTTGCATTTATCGTGTTAAAAGTGCGTCTTGCATCGTGTATAAAAGCAATAGTAATAATATCAGAATACCGTGATGAGCTTGAGAATAAAATATCAAAAGGAAAGCTCTGCTTGAATTTCCCTGACTTTGTAGAACACAATGTTGCCATTAAAAAAAAATCACCCTCAAAATAAAATAATCCTTTCCTCGTAACTCTAACAAATAAACGTCAAAAGCTACAAATTCGAAGTTAATATATAAACACGTGCTGAAACAGAAAAAGTAAAAGTAACGTCACAGTGAGTCACCAAACGTGTAAATCAATGTATAAATAATCAACGTAACAACTTAATATCCTCCCTCGAGGCAAAAATCACACCCACCGACACAATTAGCTGGATACTTTTACTCATTTAAATTACAAGAGTATACTAGAGACACACACACACACAACAGTTTCCAAGTGCAATTCGGAGCGCCGCAATTGCACAGCAGCGCGAGCTCTAATTAATTTTGGATGTAAACAACAACGGATCCCGAATGTAGAGCGGGGTAGCATTATCATTGTAGCCGCTGCGATTACTTTTTAGACACGGCAAGAACGAGGGCGGTGCGGGGGGAGGGGGGGGGGAAAAAGAAGAAGAAGCCGCGCGACAAGTGACGTGGGTTATTCTTCCGAAGCGGGGGGGGTGCCATTGTACTCGTGACGCCACAATTATCATACATTCGTCGAGAGAGGGTTTATAATACGTACACGCGCATTAATTAACTCGACAAAGTTATTAAAGCCGAATCCCCGTGGCGTGGGCACATATACATATTATTATACGCGAGCGCGCGCACGAGACCATAATATGTACCTAATTACCCCAATTACCATTAAAACACAAGTAAAGACCGGCTCGCGTTTCCGCGCAGAAGGAGAAACAAGGGGCAAATGCGCGATATTTACACCACACACGAGAAAGCTCGACACCCCGAATCTCCAAACAAATAAAAAAAAAAACAATCATTCATGGTGCACTCGAAACCCGATTTTACGCTCTTCGAGTCCCCCACGCGTCCCTTTTTCATCGACACCTGGTGTCCTCGTGAACGGTCGGGCGCCACCGTCTCGGGCCTCCATCTGCCCTTTATATACACAATGCACTTCCCTTTGGGTCGAACGAATTTACGATCGGCGACGCAGCAACCCACATACCCGAGCCACGGAAGAGAGCGAGGAGTAAATTCGTCTGTTCTCGAAAATTTTACTGCCCCGCGCGCAACTTGGTCCTCTTCCGTTTATTCGCGATCCCGAAGCGCAGTCGAGCCTATTTTACAGCTTTCCCCCCCCCCCCCCCCTTGGAGTATACAAGCACCTGCACAGCGTACACGAGCACTGTATATATACAAACTTTTTAATGCTCCGGGTGTGTATCTTTACGTCTTTCGCGCGCGAGGATTTTCGGGTGGCGATAAAAGGCTCGAGAGAATATATATATATGTATATATTTTGTATACAAGTGCTTCGTGGTTGTACACCCGTTGAGTGATTTATCGCCGTTGCGCCTTTGATGCGCGGGAAAACCTGAGATGGGCTGCACGTGTCTCTTGTTTTTTCATAATAATACACATCATGGAAGCTGTACCAAAAATATTTTCACACCCCGTGAAAACTCGAGAGATCGGTTTTGCGTTTCATTTCACAGTCGCTTTTGGATGGTAAAAAAGCACGCTGGGTTGTAAATCTCTTAACGAAGCTCTACCGAAATCATCTCGAGTTCGAGCTTTTTTGTTCTGTTGACGAAGTACCTTTTGTACGAGGGGGCTTGAACAAATCAATGCCTGCTGCTCGGATATTTTACGCTCGTAGCGGGAAAATCAGTAGATAAAAAAAAAAAAAAAAAAAGGGGGCCCCCGGGGGGAAAAAAAAAAAAAAAAAAAAAAAAAAAAAAAAGAGGGTCCGCTGGGAGGAAAGAAAGGAAGAAAAAAAAAAAAAAAAAACCAAGCGAGTCTTGTCCGTATCGGAGTTCGATTATCCGATGCGCGGGGGACCGTTTTGAAGTTACAGTTAAGCCGGATTAAATTGAAAGGTTGAATTAGGAAAGTATCGTTTTCGAATTAAATCGATGCCTGCTCACTCTCCGTGCACGCCCTCAAATAACCATTACCAATGTATAATATATATATAGGTCTTCCCCCCGACCCAAATCGGTAATTGAACGTGCATCGCTCTCGAGATGGTGTACACTTCATTTTTCATTTTTTTTTTTTTTTTCATTTCACGCACCACGTCTTGTACAAACAATTTGCAATATTCACTTGGTTAAAGCTCCCCAAACAAAATTCTTCACACCCCACCCCCTTCACACTTGGGCTTCCTCTGTCGTGCATATAGCCCTCGAGTAGGCACGTCGCGCCCATCTCGGCGTTTATCTTCCACTCGAGTGAAAAACAAAGTCAAAAGGCCACTCGAGCGCTTGCTGAGTACACGTTGTGCATCACGGAGAGGAGGCCGGTGCGGTTAACGCGATCTGTTTACCTCCTCCCGGTCCATCTTTCCCGATCGGCGCGTCACGAGTTGGCCAGATTCTCGAGCGCAATGCAGCAATACCTAGTTACATGTGCCACACAACGATGAACTTTGCCGGTTATTAACGTCTTTGTCGCGCCCTCTCCTATACACGTATACGCCCGTGGTATATGTGATTTTCGCGGTTGATATACGCTGGAACGGCGACAGTGTCGGGGGGGGACTCTGGCGCCATCCCTTATTACAGCTAATAATTCTCCCGGCGACGCCCGCTCGCGGGAACTAAAATTGAGTGTGCTCTACAAGCGCGCTAGTGGGGCATTTATAACTCGCGAGAGCCGTGGTACGGTTTCTGGCCGAGTCAGACCAGTTGGCGCCTTGATGCTTTAAATATGGGGAGGGGGGCTCGATTTTCTCCCACTCTCCCTTTCTCTGTCTAATGGTACTTTACGGCCATTTCTCCCTCTGGCCTTTTTTTCCTTCGCCCTACTTTTTTTTTTTTTTTTTTTTTCTCCTCCTCGATAAATTATCGTTTAATTACACAAGACAATTGAACCGAAGCTTTGGGGAAATCCAGATGAGAAAGAAAAGCTGGGGCCATGTCTTGATTCGGAGCTCTCCTCTCTCTCTCTCTCTCTAAAATATTCCGTAGGAGAGAAGGAGGAGAAGGTAAAAAAAAAAAAAAAAAAAAAGTCCAGCGTGTAAAGCTGACAGCTGTGCAAGGTGTGGTGGAGATGGACGAAAAAGAAGAGGGAGGTATCAAGCATACGTATGTGGAATGTAGAGAAGCCAAGAGGGTGGGAGCCGATCGAGCATTCTGTACCTACTATATATTCGGTCACCATGGTGATGGACGCATCCACCTCCT